AGTACCTGCAGGAAAAGACTCAGTGAAGCCAGGTGGGCGGCGCAACCAGATCTCCTCGTGCAGGCTGCCCTGTAGGAAAGCTGTGCTGAAGTCCAGAGAGTGCAACTCGTAGGCACGCTGAGCAGCGACGTGCAGCAACACCCGAAGAGTAATCATCTTCGGGGTGGGGGAGAAGGTCTGGAAGTAGTCAACCCCCTGTCGCAAACTGAAGCCTCGAGTAACGTAACACGCCTTGAAGGCAGGCGGAGAACCCGGCGGCCGCTTCACCATGAAGATCCACATGCCATCGACTATGTTCGCCCCAAGTGGGGCAACCTCATCGACGTAGGTGCCTGTGGACTTCCAGGATGCCATCTCGGCATCCATGGCTACCTGCCAGTGAGAGGAGTAAGGACCCGTAATCGCCTCTGCGTAAGAGCGCGGGGTCGGGATGTCTGGTGCATCCGGGTCTCCCTCGGGGGCAAGCAGCATGGACGCGAAACGACATACAGCAGCTGCAAGACACTCAAAGTCCTTCGGCGTGTCCTCAAGGACGTCCGTGCCAAGAGCACACTCACCACCGACGGACGGAGGACTGGCAGACACAGACTCAGCAACTAGAGTAGTGGCGTAGTCTAGACGACAGGCAGCAGCTAAGTCAAGCAGCTCAGCAACGAGAGCAGACGCAGCAGTAGACTCAAAAGAAGGGTCTGTGACAGCAGTGGCCAGGAGACTAGAGACAATGGGACTGGCAGCACGAGCGCGGTCAGACTCAGGGTCAGGGACCTCAGGAAGAGAGGACTCAGGAGGAGCAGGCAGAGGAACACGCAGTGGAACAGAGGAAGGACGGAGTGCCATAGCGTGTGTGCCGGGGACAGGAGGAGGACGCGAATGAGGAACGCGACGAGCAGTGCGAACAGGCAAGACAGGGCAAGACGTAGGCTCACGACGCTCTGTAAGACCGCCAGACTGCTCAGTGTAACGAGAGGGAGCAGGCAGGGAGGAGGCTGGCTGTAATGGCGGTTGCGACTGGTCAGGCCGTGGACACAGTAAGGGAGGAGTAAGGGCAGTAGAAGACGGGACTCCAAGAACTTGCCGAAGCAGGGGAACGAAGTACGGTCGCGGCTGCACAGTGCCTCCGGCACCTCCAGCTCCAGGGTCAACAGCTCCAGCTCCGGCAGCTCCAGCGCCTACCATGGGAGTGCCTCCAACTCCAGCTCCTCCAGCTCCAGCGCCTCCAGCGCCAGCTCCACCAGCGCAAGAACCTCCAGCTCCAGCAGCTCCAGGCTCCGTAGGGTCTCCAGCTCCAGCTCCCCCAACACCATCAGTCCCGGCAGCTCCATCACCCCTGGTACGAGCACCTCCAGGATGAGCAGCCGCAGTACCTCCAGTACCACTAGCTGCAACAGTTACTCCAGCACCTCCAGCTCCAGCGTCTCCAGCGCCTCCAGCTGTGGGAGCTCCACTCCGAAGGCGTGCGCGCCGAACAAGCCACTCACGCACCTGCTGCGGAGACAGTCGCGACGAAGCACCAGCAGGACCTCCAGACAAAGCAGCACCCCGAGGCTCACCACCCCCAGACTCCGCACCCTCGGACTCAGCACCCCCAGGCTCCACACCCTCAGGCTCACCACCCCCAGTCTCCTCACCCCCAGGCTCAGCACCCCCAGACCCAACACCCTCAGACCCCGCACCCCCCGGCTCCACACCCCCAGACGCAGCACCTGGAGCAGCACCTGAGCCAACAGCTACCTCGACAGGCGCAGTACCAGGGGGAGGGTCTACCTAAGACACACCTGAGGGAGCAGGACCCTGGGGCGGGAGGGGGTATACCAGAGGGGGACCGGGAGCAAGGAAGAGCGGCAGGGGCGGGGGAGGGGCAGAGCGGTAGGGGAAGAGACGGTAGAAGGGAACCGACTCGTCGAACGTGACGTCCTGAGACGGGAGGACACGGCGCGAGGTGGGGTGGTAAAAATGCCAGCCAGGCGCGTCAGGGACAAAGCCAAGGAAGACGCAGGGGATAGCACGGGCGGAGAGCTTGTCCGCGGACATATCGCGAACAAAGGCACGAAACCCCAGACCCGGAACACCGACGCATCGCCAACCTCCCCCGTCCAATGCAGTGTGGGCGAGGTCTCTGTTAAGGAGACACGGGGCCAGAGGTTGAGCTGATGCGCAGCATACCGGACCGCAAACGGCCACAGAAAATGGGGAGCAGCCGCATGGATCATGGAGTACGAGCGACCTCCATGACTAAGCCAATGTGGTGCTCAGCAATCCCATTTTGCTGAAGGGATTCCGGAAGCGTGAACGACTGGAGAATGCCCTCCCCACGACAAAAGTCCCGCAAGAGGTTGGAGGAGAACTCACCACCTCTGTTAGAGTGCAGACGCAGGACAGGAAGGTCCTGGCCAAACCGCTCGCGGAGCTGGAGACGGATTGTGCGGATCCAAGGGATAAAGACATCAACGACTTCACCCTTGCTGCGCAAGGGGAAGACCGTGGTGTACCGCGTGTAGTCGTCAACTACCAGCAGAAAGTACCGCTCTCGGCTCTGTCCAGTGACGCGGGCTGGGCCCCACACGTCCATATGGAGAGTCTGCAGTGGAGCAGTCGTCGGGGGAAACGAGGAGGAGTGAGGAGCGGCGCGCTTCCGCCCCTCGACGCAAGGAAGGCAGGGCGGGGCAGGCGAGGGCGGGAGGGGAGGCAGAGACCTGGGTAGACCAGAGACAAGAAGACGGGAGTGCATGCCACGAAGGCGTGGCAGGGAGGGGTGACCCAGGCGGTGGTGCCACAGAAGAGTCTGGTGCGACAGGAGGCGACACGAGCAAGAGGCGGCTACCTGACCTGACGCGGACACCTGAGCAGACGCAGCTACCTGAGGAGGCTCGGTAACGAGAGTGTACAGACTCGACCCTGGCTGACGAGTGAACATGGCCAGGTCACTAGCACCTAGAGCAGCAGCAGCTCTACCTGGGTCAAGCGGCACACACCGGTATCAGTCACCCTCAGCACTAACAGACAAAGCATACATAGTAGAAAGAATAGCATCAAAGTCTAGGTCAAAGATAGCAATCCTAGACCTAAGCAGATCTGCCCAGCGAGGGAGCTCGACGTCGTCACCAAACTCAGCACGCCAAGCGTCGTCGAGGCGGGAGAAGCAGCGGTGCTGAGTGTGAAGCTTCCCGCATGTCTGACCAGCACGAACACCCGTGCGAATGACATACGGGCAGCTACCCCTAGACGCCCCACGCAAAAACCACTCACGAAGCTACTGGGGCGACTGGGTCTCGCTCCGACGCTGCTGCTGCTGATGCTGGCCACCTCCAGATTCAACACGCCGAGCGCCAGTCCCCCCGCCACCAGTCCCACCGCCGCCACTGCTGCCACTCCCACTACTGCCTTCACCGCTGCCCCTAGAACCCCCACTCCCTCCACCAGTCCCTCCGCCGCCACCACCTCCACTGATGCCCCCACCACTACTCCCGCTGCCACCTCCACCACTACCGCTGCCACCCGCACCACCCTTGCCACTCTTGCCCTTGCTGCTGCGGCGCTTCGCACTAGCAGAAGCAGCCCCAACGTCCTCATCAACAGAGACGTTTGCAGCAGGAGCAGCAGAGGCGTAGGAGGGGGCAAGGGGGGAGGGGGAGCACCCCTCAAAGAAGGGCGGGCGCGGAGTGCCACGAGCAGCACCTACAGCAACTGCACTAGTCTCAGCTGCGAGGAGATGCTGCTCGAGGAGGTCAACAGTGAGGGAGGTGGGGTCAAGAGAGAGAAAGTGGTCCCTGACAGAGCGAAGAGAGTCAGGGAGGCGAGTGACAATGAAGTAGAGGGTGATGAACATCGGGGGCTGGTTCTTGTCAAGGAACTCAGCGGGGGCGGCAGCGCGGTAGCGAGCGTCACTAGCGCGAAGGTGGGAAACCAGGTCCTCGAATGTGGCAAAGGCGGACAGCTCGGGGAACAGGTAGGGCAGAAGCAAGCGGCCTAGAGCAGCAGTGGCAGGGGAGGAGTAGCGAGCGACTACAGCATCGTACAATGCCTGTGCGGTCCTGTGCTGTCCGAAATGAGCGCATTCGGCTAACGGCAGGTGGTTGCGAATGGCTAGGCGGGCAGTAGCGTCGTGAGAAAGCCACTGTGAGTGAGTCGCACTGTCAGCTGTGGCGGGAGGGGCAGTAGTGGCACCGGACACGTGGTCAAACAGTGAAACGCTGTCCTTAATATCGCTCAGTAGGTACAGCTACAGGTCGTCGAGCCACGTGTCGAACTGCACCGGTCTACCCTCATGGTCGAACGCGAGAACTCGAAGTTAGGCCATAGTGGCACAGTAAGCAGGAGCAGCAGTAGCAGCAGAGGCAGAGAGGCATGGGGCCTACGGGCCGAGGGGCCAAACACGAAGGGGCCTAGGGTCCGAGGGGCGGGGCGGAGGGGCCTAGGGGCGGGGCCGTGGGGCCAAACACGAGATGGGGGGGGGGGCCAAGGGGCCGAGGTGCCAAGGGGCCGAGGTGCCAAGGGGCCGAGGGGCGTGGGGCCTAGGGGCCGAGGTGCCGAGGGGCCTAGTGGTGGGGCCGAGGGGCTTAGGGGCCGAGGGGCCAAACACGAAATGGGGGGGGGGGGGGGGCAAGGGGCCGAGGTGCCAAGGGGCCGAGGGGCGTGGGGCCTAGGGGCCGAGGTGCCGAGGGGCCTAGTGGCGGGGCCGAGGGGCCTAGGGGCCAAACATGAAGTGGGGGGGGGGGCAAGGGGCCGAGGTGCCAAGGGGCCGAGGGGCGTGGGGCCTAGGGGCCGAGGTGCCGAGGGGCCTAGGGGCGGGGCCGAGGGGCAAAACACGAAGTGGGGGGGGGGGTCGACTGGCCAGGGCGCGGGCTAGGGGTCGACGGGGCCGTGGCGCGGGCTAGGGGTCGACGGGCCGGGGCGCGGGCTAGGGGTCGACGGGCCAGGGCGAGGGCTCGGGTTCGACGAGGCCGTGGCGCCGGCTAGGGGCTGGGCCCCACACGTCCATGTGAAGAGTCTGCAGAGGGGCCTCAGTCGGAGGAAACGAGGAGGAGTGAGGAGCGGCGCGCTGCCGGCCCTCGACACAAGGAACACAGGTGGGGGCAGGCCCCGGAGGAAGGGGAGGGAGGGACCTGGGGAGCCCAGAGACAAGAGCACGGGAGGCCATACCTCGAAGACGAGGCAGGGAGGGGTGACCAAGGCGGTGGTGCCAGAGGAGAGTCTCGTGCGCCAGAGGACGACACGAGCAGGGGGCAGACGCAGGACTAGACCTGGACGCGGCAGCAAACACCTGACTAGACGCAGCTACCTGACCAGACGCAGGGACCGGAGGAGGCGCAGTAGTCAGTGTGTACAGACTCGACCCTGGCCGACGGGTGAACGTGGCCAGGTGGCGGCCCATCCGAGAGCAAGTGCAGTGGGTCACACGCTGACCTCCAGGGGTGAACTGGTCAACCCACGCGTCCTGGAGGTCAGCTCCACTCACCAAGTTCGTAGAGAACGAGGGGAGGTGGAGTCCCGACAGCAAGCCCGACGGGGCCGCAGGACACGGTAGAACCGTGGAGGAGTGTGCAAGGACTGGTCCCCCGGAGGGGTCAGCAAGGGAGACCGCAACAGGCCGACGGAGCGGCGTGAGCGTGGTGCTGTCTCTAAAGAAAGAGCGCGAAGCACCAGAGTCTCGTGTGAAGGTGTGAAAGGACTCAGTAGGTGCAGTACCAGAGGGAGGAGACGTACCAGCACCTGGAGTAGCAGACGCACTAGCACCTAGAGCAGCAGCCACAGTGCCCGGGTCGGGCGGGACACGCAGGTAACAGTCACCCTCAGTAATATCAGCAAGAGCATACATGGCAGCAAGGATAGCATCAAAATCTAGATCAAAGATAGGCACATTCTGCAGAAGCAGATCATGCCAACGAGGAAGATCAACAGCGTCAGGAAACTGGGTACGCCAAGCATCAGTCAAGCGGCCAAAGCAGCGCTGCGTGGTGTGTGGGAGACCACACACCTCCCCACTACGAGTGCCGGTGCGAAGAACGTACGCGCAGGGACCTGCACCCCCAGACCTCCCACGTCCAGCGTACCACTCACGAGGCTGCTGAACAGACGGGGTCTCACGGGTGCGCAGCTGCTGCGGACGCTGGCTGCCACCAAGGCCTCCACGCTGCGTGGCCGCACCGCGACCAGCACCACCTCCTCCGCTACCTCCACCACCGCCGCCGCCGCCGCCACCTCCTCCACCACCGCCGCCACGGCCGCCACTGCCGCCACCGACGCCCCCACTCCCGGAACCACCCCCACCACCACCTCCACCTCCTCCACCTCCTCCACCGCTGCCTCCACCGCCCCCACCACCACCCCTGCTTCCCTTGCCCTTGCCAGTGCGGCGTCGCCCACTAGGGGCAGACGCAGCGCCGACCTCCTCAGTGCCAACGAGGTCGACAGCAGCAGCAGAGGCAACAGAGGGGAGAAGGGGGACAGGGGAACACCCCTCAAAGAAGGGGGTGCGACGGTCACCGCGAGAAGCACCAACAGCTAAGATACTCTTCTCAGCTGCAGCAAGGCGCTCCTCTAGCAAGTCGACAGTCAGCTCGGTGGGGCAAAGGGAGAGAAAGTGGTCCCTGACTGAAGAAAGAGAGTCAGGGAGGCGGGTGACTAGGTAGTAAAGGGTGATGTACATGGGGGGGGGGGTTCTTGGCACAGAACTCAGTGGGAAGGGCAGCGCGGTAGCGGGCGTCACTAGTGCGAAGGTGAGCAACTAGGTCAGCGACAGTGGCAAAGGCAGCAAGGTCAGGGAAAAGGTACGGTAGCATGAGGCGGCTGAGGGCAGCAGTGGCAGGGGAGGAGTAGCGTGCAACTACAGCGTCGTACAGAGCCCTAGCACTCTTGTACTGACTAAAGTGCGCGCGCTCAGTAGACGGCAGGTGGTTGCGCACAGCAAGACGAGCAGCAGCATCGCGCGTGAGCCACTGCGAGCGAACAGTACTGTCAGCATCAGCAGTAGGGGCAGTAGAGGCGCCAGAAGTGAGATCGAACAGTGAGAGACCATCCTTGCTATCGCACTGTAGGAAAAGCTGCAGATCATCTAGCCAGACCTCAAAGTCAACAGCCCGACCCTCAGCATCAAAGGTAAGAACATTGAGACTAGCCATGACAGGAGAAGCAGCAGGCTAGCAGTAGCAGCAGTGGAACTCGGCTAAGCAGGCTAGGTAGGGCGGCGCAGCTCGGCAGGGCGGTGTGGCTCGGCAGCGCGGCGCTCTTACTAGGGGAGAGGCTGGGGCAGGGCCGGGGCAGTCCAGGAGCAGGGCCGGGGCAGGGCCGGGGCAGTTCAGGAGCAGGGCCGGGGCAGGGCCGGGGCAGTTCAGGAGCAGGGCCGGGGCAGGGCCAGGGCAGAGCCGGGCCAGGGCCGGGGCAGGGCCGGGGCAGAGCCGGGGCAGTTCAGGAGCAGGGCCGGGGCAGTGCAGAAGCAGGGCCGGGGCAGGGCCGGGGCAGTTCAGGAGCAGGGCCGGGGCAGGGCCAGGGCAGAGCCGGGCCAGGGCCGGGGCAGTTCAGGGGCAGGGCCGGGGCAGGGCCGGGGCAGGGCCGGGGCAGAGCCGGGGCAGTTCAGGAGCAGGGCCGGGGCAGTGCAGAAGCTGGGCCGGGGTAGTTCGGGGGCAGGGCCGGGGCAGAGCCGGGGCAGGGCCGGGGCAGGGCCTGGGCAGAGCCGGGCCAGGGCCAAGGCAGTGCAGGGGCAGGTCAGGAGCAGGGCCGGGGCAGTGCAGAAGCAGGGCCGGGGCAGTTCAGGAGCAGGGCCGGGGCAGCGTCGGGGAAGAGCTGCGACAGGGCCGCAGCAGGGCCGGCCGGGCCTGAAGGGGCCTCTAACGGGGCATGACTGGGCCGAACGGGGCCTATAACGGGGCCTGACGAGGCCTATAACGGGGCCGAACGGGGCCTATAACGGGGCCTGACGGGGCCTATAACGGGGCCGTACGGGGCCTATAACGGGGCCGTGCGGGGCCTATAACGGGGCCTGACGGGGCCTATAACGGGGCCGTACGGGGCCGTACGGGGCCTATAACGGGGCCTGACGGGCCTTACGGGGCCTGAAACGGGGCCAGATGGGGATTGACGGGGTCGAACGGGGCCGTACGGGGCCGATAATGGGGCCTTGCGGGGCCTATAACGGGGCCTGACGGGCCTTACGGGGCCTTAAACGGGGCCAAATGGGGCCTGACGGGGCCGTACTGGGCCTCTAACGGGGCCTGACGGGGCCGTACGGGGCTTTTCTAACGGGGCCTGTCGGGGCCTAACGAGGCCTTAAACGGGGCCGAACGGGGCCTGACGGGGCCTTACGGGGCCTTACGGGGCCTTACGGGGCTAACGGGGCCTTAATCCGCGCCCTAAACGGGGCCAAATGGGGCCTGACGGGGCCGTACGGGGCCTCTAACGGGGCCTGACGGGGCCGTACGGGGCCTCTAACGGGGCCTGTTGGGGCCTAACGGGGCCTTAAACGGGGCCGAACGGGGCCTGACGGGGCCTTACGAGGCCTTACGGGGCATAACGGGGCCTTACGGGGCCTAACGAGGCCTTAAGGGGCCTTACGGGGCGGGCGCAGGCTCTAAGGGCGGGCGCAGGGGCCGTGACGGGCCTCGAAGGGAAGGTGCGAAGCGCGCGGCAAGTAGGCAGGGGAGAAATTTCAGTGGTGGGCCCTTAAAAAAATTCTCGAAACTAGCTCTATACCATGTGAGAATGATAGACGAAAGAATGATTGAATTAGGAAATGAGAAGGGTACAAGTAGGAAACACATAAGTGTTGTACCCTCTAAGGACTACCCCACTACAGCCTAGACCGACTATAGTAAATATATGTTTGACACGGGCCACATGTATAAATACTACCCCGACAAGGCACAAGGAAAGAGGAACGACGGGAAAGAGCCGGGAAATGGGAAGAGTCAGTAACAGACGGGCCCCTTACTGACTATGCTGTGTCACCCAAACCCCACCATCCCCACGGAGTCGTGGTTCCGATTCATGCAATCGATCGCACTCGGCCGAATAACGGGGATACTCATATGAATCACCCTGTGCTGGTTGTTGGCACGGTCTTGAAAAAATAAAATAAAAAATGTTCGTCGATGGCGGGGCTAGCCATAGCCTCTTCAATCTGGCGACAGCAAAAAAATGCAGGTTGCAGCTGGACAGGTGTCTGCCCGAAATTGACGCTCGCCTCGTAAATGGGATGCCTCTGCCGATTTTGGAGGAAACACGGACGGTGCGGATTGAGTGCGGCGACGATTTCGGCTTCAGCATGAAGTTCATCGGAACGATGTTGGATGGCTGCGACGTGCTCCTGGGACGTGATTGGCTGCGACGACACAACTCAATAATCGACTGGGCGACGGGCTCGTGCAGCATCAGCAAGCACGAGGGGCTGATTACTCTGCCCGCGTGGACTCCGGACGACATCGAGTCTACATGCATCAAAGCCATCACTATTACACGCCACTTCAACAGGGGTGCGCAGCTGTACGCCGCTCATCAGCGCGAGTTGGCAACCGACACCAACGGAAGCGACATCGGCAAGTTGTGTGCAGCTGTACCGCCCGAGCTGGCGCAGCTGATTCGGAAATATCCCGAGATTTTTCCGGATGACCTGCCACCTGGCTTAACACCAGCAAAATCGAAGACCACTAAATCACCCTCGAGCTTGGCATGCAACCGACTGTTCAGACACCGTGGCAGCTGACCCAGCCTGAACTCGCGGAGCTTCGAAGTCAAATTGAAGCACTGTTGGAGAAGGGCTTCATCCGACCTAGTACCTCACCTTTCGTCGCGCCGATCATGTTCACTCCGAAGAAGGACGGCGGCATTCGCATGTGCATCAACTATCGCACGCTCAACCAGGTTACAATCAAATCTCGTTATCCCATCCCACGCACCGACGACCTCCTCGACCAACTTCACAGCGCTCGCTACTTCTTGAAGATTGACCTGTCAATCTTATATGCTATAGTCTGTTTAGGCTGTAGTGGGGTAGTTCATTTAGGGTACAACACTTTTAGGTTTCCTACTTGTACCCACCTGCTTGCTAGTTCAATCATTCATTCCTTCACTATTCTGACATGGTATTCTGAGCAGGTTCCCTAGTGGGAACGATTTTTTTAGGGCCCACCACGATTTTTTTTTTCCTGCCCTGCCCGAAGCGCGCCTCGCGCCTGCCTCACCTGCGCCGTTGCGCGCCCTGCCCTAGTACGGCCCGACGCGGCCCTGCCTTCTCTGGCCCGTCGCGGCCCTGCCTTCGCCGCCCGTCGCTGGCCCGTCCCGACCAGTCCCGGCCCGTCGCCGCCCGTCGCCGCTCGTCGCGGCCCTGCCTTCGCCGCCCACTGCGGCCCTGCCCTGCGGCCGCCCTGTCGCGGCCCTGCCTTTCGCCGCCCGTCGCTGGCCCATCCCGGCCCATAGCCGGCCCGTCCCGGCCCGTTGCCGCCCGTCGCCGCCCCGTCGCCGACCGTCGCTGGCCCGTACCCGCTCGTCGCGGCCCTGCCTTTGCCGCCCTGTCGTGGCCCTGCCCTGCTGCAGCCCTGTCGCGGCCATGCCCTGCTGCCGCCCCAGTCGCGGCCCTGCCTTCGCCGCCCATCGCGGCCCTGCCCTGCAGCCGCCCTGTCGCGGCCCTGCCCTGCTGCCGCCCCAGTCGCGGCCCTGACCTAAACCGCCAGCTGCGGCCCTGCCCTGCATCCGCCCCTGGTAAGCACTCGCGCATCCCTGCCGCGCTGCGCCGCCAGGAGCTGAGCCGCGCCGCCAAGCCGAGCCGCGCCGCCCTGCCGAGCCGCGCCGCCTAGCCGATTCGCGCCGCCTAGCCGAGCCGCGCCGCCCTGCCAAGCCGCCCCGCCCTACCGAGCCGCACCGCCCTACCGAGCCGCGCCGCCCTACTGAGCCGCACTGCCCTGCCTGCGCTGCTCCTGCTGCTCTTGCTGCTACTGCTGCTTCTGCTGCCACTGCTGCTACTGCTGCTCCTGCTGCTACTGCCGCTATGGCTAGCCCTACTGTTCTTACCTTTGATGCTGAGGGGCGTGCAGTTGAATTTGACGTGTGGGATGACGACCTGCAGCTCTTTCTTCAGTGTGACTCTAGGGACGGAGTATCCCTTTTCGATCACACGTCCGGTGTCTCTACTGCACCTGCTGCCACTGCTGACAGTACGGTTCGCTCGCAGTGGACCACTCGTGACACTGTTTCTCGCCTTGCTGTTCGTAGTCACCTGCCGTCTGCCGAGCGCGCGAACTTTGGCCAGTACATGACTGCTAAGTCTTTGTATGACGCTGTAGTAGCGCGCTACTCCTCCCCTGCCACTGCTGCCCTCAGCCGCCTCATGCTGCCTTACCTGTTCCCTGACCTTGCCGCTTTTGCCACAGTCGCTGACCTCATTACGCACCTCCGCACTAGTGACGCCCGCTACCGTGCTGCGCTTCCCACTGAATTCTGTGCCAAGAACCCCCCCCCCCCTGTACATCACCCATTACTACCTAGTCACCCGCCTCCCTGACTCCCTTGCTTCAGTCAGGGACCACTTTCTCTCCCTTTGCCCCACCGAGCTCACCGTCGACCTGCTAGAGGAGCGCCTCACTGAAGCTAAGAAGAGTATCTTAGCTGTAGGTGCTTCTCGCGGCGACCCTCGCGCCCCTTTCTTTGAGGGGTGTTCCC